GGGCTGGGGCAGGGAGTGGGTGTGCAGGAGGAGGTGAGGGGTGCAGGCTCTGGGATGGAGTTTGGGGGTGGGAAGTGGTGCAAAGGAAGGGAGTGCAGGCTTTTCGGAGGGAGTTTGAGGGCAGGAGGGGGTGCAGGGGGAGGGCTGTGGGTCTGAGGATGAGGGGATCATGATGTAGGAGGGGGCTCAGGGCTGGGGCAGAGGATTAGGATGTGGGGGGATGAGGGCTGGGGATGAGGGGTTTGGGGCGTTGGAGAGGCTCAGGGCTAGGGTGGAAGGGCATCCTGTCTTCCCATTAGTGGTGGGGGGCACTAGGACCCAGGGGCAGCAGACAGCAGTTGCTGCTGGCTCTGGCAGTAAAAGCAGGCAAGGGAGAGGCAGGGGGTCCACGGGGGGGACGCGCGGAGGGGGGGTGGCAGGTGGAGACCGGGGACCCTTCCAACCCTCCCCCTGCTCCCTGACTGACCCCCCGGGACTCCCCTTACCATGCCCATGTCCACCTGTAGGCAAAACATGCTGCCGGGTGGGGCTGTTTGTGTGGTTACACTGGGCTGCAGGAGCGGGGGGGGGGGAGCAGGGGAGGGGCTCTGGCTGCTGGAGGCCAATGGGAGCGGCTCAATCGGCCCAGCCACCTAATCAGCAGCCGCACTCTGCATGGAAGGGAGGGAGGAGGGGGGGAAATCCCGGACCTTTTAACCTTGTTACCAATTCCTCCCAGACGGCTATTTAGAGACGCAAAAGCCGGACATGTCCGGGGAAATACGGACGGATGGTAACCCTACACAAGAAGGGAGTCAGCCTCCCATTCTACATAGCGGGAAACTGGGGCACAGACATAGTCACTTTCCTCAGTGAGCTCCCAGGGGAAGGTACTGTCTCTTCACTCTGGGTTTATGCAGCGCCTGGCACAACAGGGCCCTGATCATGGCGGGGGCCCTACATGCACCCGCAACACAAGGGATCCAGCGCTATTGAGGCCAGCGTTTGCAGAGGTCTCCGATAACTGTTGGTATCTCTGTTTCTGGGTGCTCAGTCTGAGAATCCTGAAGATTGAGGCCCCTCCCAGTGAAGGACATTTTTGAAAACCGCAACATGCTCCCATCACACAGAGTCTGTGGCCGCTCCAGGAGCTGGGCCAGATCTCCTGGGTCCCAGCCCAGTGCTGTGTCCACCGAGCCACCACTTCTCCTGCAGCCCCTGCCTCATTCAGCTCGGGCCGGGGCACTGCCTGGGGCAGGGCCTGGAGAACAGAGGGGATGGGATCATGGGATTAAATAGCGACTCACATTTCATACAAACTGGGGACAGCGTTAAAGTCACCTCCAGGGCTGCTGCTCCCCCCTGGCTGGGGAACCCCCCAGTGACTCTGTCCCGGCTCCCTGGCTGGGCGTCCCCTCTGCAGGGTCAGGGCTCAGGGCAGAGCCAGGCTCTGAGCGTCCCTTTGGTACCGAGCCCCCGTGAGGGTCTGGCTGGGGGTGGAGCTGGGAACGGGAACGCCGAGCCGGGCCCCTCACCTCTCACCACCAGCTCCACGGGGTCGCTGGGGTACGACTCAGCAAATGGCTCTGATCTGCCGCGATAGGAGCAGCTGTAGCTCCCACCGTCCTCCCGGCGCACGTTGCTGATGAGAAACACAGCCTCATTGTCGTCCGAATCCACAGGTGGGAAATGGTGTCCCTCTTTATTCAGCACGAACCGCATGCCCCGGTGCTGCCCCCGACACCAGACGCTCACGACTCCCCCCAGGGAGACCCCCCCGATGCGGCTGATGGACACGGAGGGCTTGGGCAGAGTGGGCTCTGGGAGCAGAAGGAGACAGGCCGTGAGATGCAGACCCTGGGCTGGGAGGGGCCGACACGGCGACCCAGCCACCAGCCCCTCCCCAGCACAGCTCCCGACTGAGTACTGGGTTTCCAAGGGAGTGGGGAGGGGCCGGCTGAGCAGCCCCTGGGCCCCGAGCCCTCTGTGCATTCCCCGAGATGGGGAGAATCCCCCTGGGAAAGGTCCCCTGCTCCGCAGCTTCCCCAGGGACAGGGATCCCCCCTCCCTCAATCTCCAGTGGCTGCTGCTTAGGGT